AGTGGTGAAAATGGACGCCAACAGAAAAGCTGACAAGGAAGAAATGGAGGCCAGCTATAAAGAGTTGGCGGCCATAATGGGGGCTGGACGAGAGGAATGGAGAGTCGGCCAAGAAAAACTGCGACAGGGAATGAAAGCCTGGCGAGAAGAAATCCGCTCGGTGCTGTTTGAGACAACAAATACCAGAAAAGAGACAATGGCCTGCCAAGGAATGGAGACACATCTAGAAGAAGAAGAGCCAACCTGAGTGGACATGAAACCTGAAGCAGCAGAACGACGAAAAGTCCCCGACGAAGATGCCGTAGTGAAACTGGTCAATGGACAGATGAGGAGGCATAGGGGCAAGAAGCAAGCTGCAGGGCGACATGGAGAGCCGAAGAAACTGATCCAAGGAGATTGTGGATCCCGGATGAAGTTGGCTGCCACCTGCAGGAAGATGTCCAATCATGCAACAGTGGCATGGCACAAGAGGAACATCTTCACAAAAATTATGACCCACAGAAATTGTGGACCGCGGAAAGAAGTAACTGCAGCCATAAGGAAGATTACATGCTGTGCAGGACAAAGGCATTACGAACAAAACAATGGCAATGTGGTACAAGGAACCCCGAAAGAACGGATGCTTGGGAGGATATCAAACGAGACCTGAATGCAAAAATGGAATTAAGGACCGAGGCGGCAAGCGGCTCTCAAGAAGACACTAGAGCTGGAAATCGTGAAGCGAGCAGTAGCAATTTCCAGTGGATTACCAAAAATGAGGAAATGCAACTTGTGGAGGGGTCGAACCCCTCCAAAACAGGAAAAATTACTTCAAGCAAAGGAGGAGCCGGTAACGTAGAAGTACCAGCCTCCCCAGTGAGAATGAATGTGCAATGAATGAAAGTGATGAATGAATGTGTGACAACAGATCGACGACCGCTGGACCATGGAATTGCTCGGGACGAGCATTTTTAAAAAAGGGGAGCAGAGGTAGCGACCCGAAGACAAACACCAGAGAAGAAAAAAAAAAAAAAAAAAACGGGGATGTACCATTAGGCCGTTCAGGATGAGCAACCTTTGGAAGGGAGCAGTGTGACGTATTTACGCTATGCAAGACACCCCCCCTTCCCCCGCGGTGATGTAACGGCATCAGGGCAATTGCCACCGCTACAGTAACTTGCCAGTCAACACTCTGTCCCCTTCTCCTGCACTGACGTAACAGCACTTCCCACTGTGACGTAACAAGGGGACACTGCTGGTAACACGAGACAACAGGGAACGGTATAAAATGCTGATAGACAAAATTTAGAGGAGAGTGTGATCAGGAGTGACACAGTGTGAATCGTGAAGTCGCCAAGGTCAGTTTCAATCTAGCAGTCGCCAAGTTGGGTTGTATCGATTGCATGGCAGTGACTACAGCTGAAGACGTAATTGTGATACTGCCGATGGCAGCAGCAGTGTAACTGTGAATTGTGCAATTGTGAGAGCAAGTGTTCAATAAATTCACTATATCCAAAACAGGGTGAAGTTATTTGTCGCATAACATATACCCAACACGTGACAATACCTTTCGGTATATTAATTACCTTTAATATAACAGTGTCCACCAACATTTTTAAATACAATTTCTTGTATTCTTTAGAGGTGGCATTACATGGTACTTTATCTCCTAGCACCCATATGTAAATGTTACTTCTTTCTCTTGTGGTTTCTTTTACATCATCATCGGTATCTAGCCTACATAGTCAGCACATTCTCAGCACAACACCTTACAGTAAGACACTGTAATGAAAAGTTTAAATATGAAAGAGAAAAAATGTATACTTACTTGACAATCTTAAACATGAGGGAGAAAAGAGCACAAAAGATCTCTTGACAGTCCTCTAGCTCAAAACACATGTTAAAACTCTTGACATAAGCCAAATTCTCCAGAAGATAGAAATACCGTTTGAAAGCAGGATCTTTTGGATCTTTGAGGCCAGATAACTGCTTGATCAAGAAGAGGAATATTGTCTGCAAAGGAAAACCGGGGTTAATTGCTATTAGTTTGGTCATAAATAAAAACTGTGCAATAGCGTATTGGAAGAACTTTTAGATTCTTTACTGCTTATAAATATTACGTTCTTATAGTTTACTTATTATTTTGATTACACTCCTTCATTAATGTTCCTCTTATTCAAGTTTTAATAGTATCTTTTTGCAGGATCTTATGGGAAACTACTGCAATCTTTTAGGGTTACTGCAGTTCCTTGTTAACATATCTGTTATTCTCTTTACAGTACAAAATGCAGAGATCAACTGCCTTATAAACACTATATTCAAATCACACAAACATACAAAGATAATCTGAATGAAAGCTATGAACTCTGCTATAAAATGGTTCTACTGTGTACACATAATTCACATTATTTCTCATCATATTCGCCATCTCTCTCAATATACAACTTGTTAACAATTCACCAACGCTATGACGCTGCCATAGAATCATACTTATAGTTGATAATGCAGCCCATTCTTCACTGCAAATTGCACCTCCTTGTTGGTATGAGAATGGATTCCACTTGAAAGGGTTCATAGAGATCACAGTCACTCAGGGAAAGTTCTATTGAGTAAGGCAGATGTCGAAGGATTTCTACACAGTTCTTAGACTACTGTAACTGTCACGAATGGGAAATGCAGGTGTGGATTTTCATGCTACAAGCAGACACCCTTGGGCAGTAATCCACATTTTCCTCAATTGAACGGATTAAAATTCTTCTTCAGAAACTTACAACATACAAGAAGTGAAAATGGTTTCCTGGACAACGTAATGCTTATGCATAAAGACAGAGCAGCATCAGGGGATTATCATGAGCAAATGAATGGAAATACTTTCTGAAAATTACATTCATGGAAGACTTGCAGATTAACATATGTGCCTATCATCATGATGGATAATGTTTTCAATCACTTAATATAATTACATACTGCACCTCTGACATCATCATGCACTGTCTTGACAATGTGTTACCTAGGAAGTGACACTGCTCTATGCAGTGGGTTCACCTGTCACAAGCTATCATTGCAATCTGTAGCAACAACTGTCCAATGAATAGAATATGGGAGATATTTTTGAGTTCATAAACGAATCGCTCAAATCTTTTCAGATGGTGGAATCAACCCTCTCATTTTCTTCTTTATGAGGCTTGGTTTCAATTACTATATGTCACACATTCACTGAACAGCAGGTACTGGAGTCTGCACAATCTTGAGACTATGACAAGAGGTTCCACCACATGATTCCAAAATTGCTGCATGATGTGTAAATGCATCATTTTTCTTTAAGAGAATCCTGAAAGGTATATGGAACAGATATTCTGCCTACTTTTCAAGCAGCCAACAGATGAATGCTGGAGTGCACCCTTCCATCAAGACTCTGCTAATGCTCTACTGCCTATATACAATTTGCAGGTACCTGGGGACAGGCTTATCAGTAGCTCTTTGTGGTGAGAAAATTCCCCCAACTTCACCATGTCGAAATTTTATTTGTGGTGATGAACCAAAAACAAACATTTACAGACCAAATCCTATGACAACTGTGAAACTGAAGAAAGTATCAAACAGAAAGATTTCTCTAGTTCCAAGAACTACAATGCAGGAATGTAAACCTTTAACAAAGTTGTCAAGAATGCACGTGCAGCAACAAGGAGTCTTCCAGCATCTGCTGCAGTTTGAGCACATTTCAATTGTAGGACTGTTGTTTCAGCTAGCAGTCCTGATCTGCATGGACCCAATGTGAATGGAAGAGCAACCATTCCTTACACATGAGAGAGTCAAACAATTTGATGCAATCCTTACAAGAATTTCTCCCAGTACCAAATGTGCATATCTGCACTACTGAATATCAAAAGAATTAATGATGTGATGAACAAACAATGAGTCACCATTACACAAACCACTGGAAAACTGAATGAACAGAGACTAGTCTCTGTGTATTCCACCTCATTCCAACCTCAAGTACAATCATTCTCAGCATTTATAATCCACCATGAAGTAATTCAAAGTTCAAGCACAGCTCAGAAGTACGAGTATGTTAAACCACTTTGAGAATGAACTTTTAGATCTAAGGAGGGATCATACCATTAATATTTTTCACTGAGATGAAGTACTTCAACATAAAATATAACTTAATGAGAAGTGATAGAAAATCTGTTCATCATGCAATTCACAAGAAAATCACATAACATGACTTACTTAACCTTGGTGGATCAGGAAGAACATACACTACCCACGTTAGTCTTCCTCTCAAGCTTCAACTACATCCCACATATAGAAAACTTGCCCTTGTTACACAAAGGGCGCTCATATCTTGTTAGGACAAGCTTTAATTCTTCTGACAACTTTTATAAAACACACAGCCTCATATTCCCACTTCATATGTGAAGTAAAAGAAGCGTCCACAAGTACAAGGTGTGGCAATAAAGAACCCGGATTACTTTTATGACTCATTTCCGGCCATGTCATTGACGAAGAGGAGGGTAGGGCATTGACCCTTGGACTTCCCTCTACCGTCACACAAAGTTTCATTCACGTGCATCGGTTAGTCTGGCCGCGACCATTGTTAGAAGCGGATCGTGTTTCTGAGCTCCGTCGGAATAATGCTGAGTGCTAATGCAGAACAACGTGCTAACATCAAATTCCTCACAAAACTTGGAAAATCTGCCACTGAAACTTACAATTTGTTGACAGAAGTATATGGTGATCAGTGTCTATCTCGCACGCAAGTTTTCGAGTGGTTTAAGAAGTTTATGGAGGGTAGGAAAAACGTCGGGAACGATCCAAAATCGGGCCGTCCTCCCACTGCGAAAACTCCAGAGAATGTGGAGAAGGTCGCTAGAATTGTTCGAAGAGATCGTCGACTGAGCATTCGAGCAATTTCTGAACTTACGAACATCAATAAGGAAAGTGTTAGACAGATTTTGCACGACGATCTGGGCATGAAAAAGGTGTGTGCTAAAGTGGTGCCAAAAATCCTTACCCCCCAGCAAAAGGAACATCGAGTGAATTGCTGTGTTGACACTCTTGAAAACATTGAAAATGATCCTGATTTCTTCCAAAACGTAATTACGTGTGACGAAACTTGGATTCTTCAATATGATCCAGAGACTAAGCGACAATCCATGCATTGGAAGAGCCCCAAATCCCCTAGGAAGAAGAAAGCGCGCATGAGCAAGTCCAAATTCAAAGCAATGATGATTGTTTTTTTCGATATCCGGGGGGTAATCTACATTGATTGGGTGCCTGAAGGTCAGACTGTCAATCAGGTTTATTATAAAAATGTTTTGACGTACCTCCGTGAACGTGTGCGACGAAGGAGACCAGACATGTGGAAGAATGCCTCATGGGTTCTTCATCACGACAACGCGCCAGCACACAACGCGCTATCTGTGAAGAGGTATTTGGCAAAAAACAACATTCCAGTGATGGAACATCCACCGTATTCTCCGGACCTAGCACCGTGCGACTTTTTTCTCTTCCCAAAAATCAAGTCTGCGCTGAAAGGGACCAGGTTCGAGTCCGTGGATGCAGTGAAAGCAAAAGCGACGCAACTCTTGAAGAGCATAACACAAGATGACCTGCAGCACTGCTTCCAACAGTGGAAAATTCGCATGGAGCGGTGTAGGGATCGGGGAGGGGACTACATTGAAGGGGATAACATTTTGACTGTCTGATTTTTTTTTAATAAAGGGTTAGAGCATGAATCCGGTTTCTTTATTGCCACACCTTGTATGTATCTATCATATTATCAACTGTCATGTGTAGGTGATAAGTGAATGATGCAATAAATGGCATAATGCTCCTTCATGACTGCAAAACCACTTTAGAGTATCCTGTAAATAAACTACAGAACATACCTTAACCTGCTCTGGATCTTTATAAGGGGCTTCTGGAGCATAAACTCTTAGAACATCAGCAATACAACAGGCAATTAGTAGCTGAACATCTTTACTCTGATGCATCAAGAAATGATCCTCAGCAAGGTGGAGTGCCAATGGTATGTACTGTTGATACATTCCCTCATCCTGCCCCATTGCTTGCAGAGTATGAGCCAATGTCTTAAAACACAGGATTGCATGTTTTAATGTCTAGCAAACTTAAAAAGAACATTAATGACACAATTATATAATTAAGCTGAATGACAGAGACTTTATCTCAGAGCATCCTAAAATCATTTTACTGATCTGGTGGAAGGAACATACACTACTTGCATTAACTTGCACAATAAACAGACTCATGGTATACTTGACATGCCAAGAGCCTATACATATTAGAATTTGTCTTCAATATTGCTTCATTAAATATCTGAACAGCTACCATAAAGGATGGATAAGCATTATGGGCCTGCCAACCGTAAATCCAAGCCCCTACTAATATATTAAACAGTCAAACAGTCACATTTTTCTTGCTTTGAAATGACACAAGAGTTCAAACATACAGAGTGGAGCGCAGAAACTTCCTTTTTTTGAAGGTGAATAAAAGAAAAATTATTGCTGATAGACAAAATTTATGTTCAGCTAATAAAAGAACATACTTTAAAGTTTTAAATCATGTAGTTTTAAACAAAATATCATGAAGGTGGTGGCCACCGTTCTCACTGCACTGATGCAACCGTTTTCTAAAGTTCCCCTGTGCACGTTCCAACATGTGCACCAGAATTTGTGCTACTTCCTGCCAGATAACATTCTTTGGCTGAAGCAGGTTCGTGGGGCGATGTTTAAAAACTTCTGCCTTGAGGTATCCCCATAAAAAAAAATCACAGGGCATTAGATCAGGTGAGTGCGCTGCCCACGCGATGTCACCTCGAAGCGAGACGAGCCATTCGGGGAATTTTCCCCTCAAAACTGTCATCGAAGCTCGGGCTGTGTGGGCCGTGGCACCATCCTGTTGGAACCAGACATTTCCTAGATGCATTTCTTCAAGAGCTGGTTCGAAAAAGTTTTTAATCATGTCCACATACCGCTGTGAATTGACAATAACTGCATGATTGTCTTCTTCAAAAAAATAAGGGCCAATAACTCCAACTCTCAACAACACACATCATACTGTCACCTTATCACTGTGAAGTGGCCTCTCACGGAGCTCTCTGGGATTGTTAGCACTCCAATAGCGCATATTCTGCTTGTTGACATATCCGGATAGGTGAAAATGTGCCTCATCACTAAAGAAAACAAGTTCATCAGGGGGTAAAGTTTCCAATAATGTTTCACACGCCGTTATTCGGTTCTGGAAATCATGTGGTAACAATTCTTGCACAACCATCTTATAGGGATCGAAATTAAGATGTTTGTGAAGAATTCGGCGCATTGAACGATTGGATATGTCTAGGGCGACTGCATGTCTGCGAGCGGAGTGTCTTGGAGATCTCAAAATTGACTGTCGAACTGCCTCCACATTTTCTGGCGTCGTAACGGTCCGTTGTCATCCAGATGATTTTTTCACCACACTCCCGGTTGTCCTCAAGTTCTCTACCCACAAAACAATCGATTTCCGGTCGGAAACTGAACCTCTGGGCTTAATTTCGGAGTATGGAACACATGCTGCATTGCCATATAGCAGCCCTGTCCAACACAGCGCCCGTGGTATATTTTTCTGGCGCCCTCCGTAACCACATATAATTGAGCCGATTTTTAATATTAATTCAAATTGTAAGACAAGAGACATTTTTGAACGTCTGAGTACTGTTAAATATTTTCGAAAAATATTATTATTATTGTTTATTATTATTATTATTATTATTNCAGACAGAAACTTCCGCAACCGCCGCGTTCGCCAAGCCTATCCCCACTTTCCTGCGACCTCCCATTCCTTCACAAAAAGGAAGTTTCTGCACCCCACCATGTATTACCTACATGAAAGGCAAGGTGAAGAGTCCAGCATTAGTATAAACGATTATTAACACCATCCAGTGTGATTGATAATTTTTTTTTTTTAATCGTTCATCCTTTACATGTTTCAGTCATAGCAACTGTAATAATCTTTTATACTACTGCTAGTGTGACAGACCACAATGAACCAAGTCAAATTCCAGCATTAATTTCTGTATGTTACACTTCCAAATGGCGTAAAATAATTACTCCTATAACCATAACAACATCTAGCCAGATAGGTTCATTACCAGACAGGGCACAACTCAAAACACAAAGTGCTCAATGATGAAAAACTGGTTGAAATCAGTAACAAGTTATCAAATTCTCCTCAAAAATCCAGTACATTGTTTGCACAGACAAGTGGGATTTAAAGATTCAGGTTTCATGTTTCCAATGTCCTCAATTTCCAAAATGGATATTCAACACATGAAAGTAAACAGTTTACAGTAGTACAGGTAATGTGTGTGTGTGTAATTACACTGACGATTTCAAGCAAATGCTCTGACCTGGGTGAGTTCTTTCTTTCTTGGCCTATGGGTTTGTGAAACTGCATTGTGGGTTCAACCACACAAGAAGCTTGTATGTCTTTCACTTGACTGACAGAACATTTTGTGACAGCCTTTAAAATTACCTCCCTATATCAATGTCAATATACTACTAGTCTGATATAAGCGTAAATTGTTATACTATAATTAACAAACGTAATCTATTTCTACCCTATAGTAATACAGTTAACAGTGGAAAGTATATTAAAAAGCTATAACCTTAAGTCGTCGTATAAGTTCATCTGGCCCCAGGTCATCCGTTACAGGACGACAACCTTGTGGGTAAACAATATCGTGAGGCATGATGATGACAGCAGACGATTAGGCGATCATTTAAAACCTGAAACACAGATCGGGACTCTATGAATTACTTCTGCAAATTCGTTCCTGATCTTACCTAAAACATTAAATCCAACAAACTACAATACATGCACATGTAATTATCAACTGGGCCAAATCATGTGTAAAAGTACTTTAAATAAAAGAGCTTAATACTTTAGCAAACCACTCTGGGCTAAAATAATTTCATTGCAAATGCAATACTAGACCTGTGATGGATTGTATATGCTTATTTCTTGCCACCGGAAATTAATCACAAACACCAATTCCTCTACGATTCATTGCTTATTACATATTATTTTCACCACAAAAATATACATGAAATAGACATAACATTCAAACTATTCTACCGGGCGTAATAAAAAAAATAACGACAAAGCCATGTAAAACAACGACGCGCACCATCATAACCATTGAAACTGCGGGAAACTGCTTCCCGGTTGGCCACGGAACGCGAAAATCAGGAGCACCAACTAAACCCTAACCTAGTGCTTAATGCGCCGAGGACGTATTGGTCATGATCAACACAATCAAATGAAATAATTTTCAGCGAATATATCAGAGATTTTATCTTATATAGGTGGTAATATTATTATTATTCATCCTAGCTGTGGTGGTGGTAGTACCTGACTACCACCACATTTATCATCACATACACACGGGTCCCCTAGGATATTCAGAACGTTCAGAGTTCAGAGCTGCTTTTACGCTGAGATGATGCTTCAATCTACATAACAAAAAAAGTCATGAAGAGTTCCTGGACTTTCGGACTTCGTCCATCGTCCGATATTCTAAAAATGTGAAAACGTTTTGGAAATTGGCTCTGCTTCCACCCTCAGGTGAAAAAGAAAACATATCCGTTCGATCCCTGAGAAAGAGCTAACCTCCTTCACTGGACAGCCCATGTCACATTCACTGCAACCGTTTTTAAGATCTGAGACCGGGCTACGTCGGAAAGGAGATAACACAATATTTCTTCATACATTTATTACACATTATCTGAAAAAACTGCAATAAATGTCTATGTTCAATAAGTGATGGATCGTGAATGCGTTATTCCTAATTGCGTAACTCATATACTTTTTTTTTTGTTCACTAAGGTATCATTTTAATTATTGCATTGGGGTTTTACTCAGGTCTGTCTGGTAGTCACTGACTACACACATCTGTAGACGCGTAACTGTAGCATCGTCGTTAGGGTCATTAGAGGGTTCCTTGTTCCACTCGGGCATTGGGTCTGTATGTTCCGTCAGGGACACTGGAGGCGGTGTGTGAGTTACTGGTATAAGGGGATCTTCATCAGGTCGCTGATGTTTGGACGTGCATGTGGTCGAGGGTTCATACGAATCGGTAGAAGACGGAGCCGCAAAATAAGTTGCAGGTATCCGATCAAGGGTGACGGTCAGGGAGGGTGTGGAACATGATTGTGGCATTCGACTGTGAAGTACCGGAATGGCCCCCACCTGCGTATCCAGCATGGTTGGCGGGGGAGTGCTAGGCGGTGCTGCGGCATACGCACAGACGGTCGACTTCTGATGGTATTACCATCCTTTGAGGGTATCGAACACGACCTTGCATCCGCGGCATTTGAAAACAAGTCGATGCAGATGGTATCGGCGGACGTGATTTAAGAGGTCTCGGTGCCGTTTGTATATCTTTGGAACCGGTGCGCAGATTCGGCAATGAAAAGATTCGGCTAGTGGGACGTCGACTTCATAATAATAGGCATATGTCCCATCTGGTTCCGGCGTCATCGAGTCAATAAGGTTCTTCACCCTCACCATTCTCGCACGATATTCGCCCTTCCGTCTTTTCTCTCAAGTTTTCTATATGTCCCATCGCGTTCCGTAGATAGCATCAAACCTGTCTTCCATGGAATATCTACAGTCCCTCTTACTTTTCGCGTGTCTTAACGTAGCCAAAATTCCTATAGCTCCAGCAGTAGGACTTGGCACTTTTCACGGATTGCGCGTGTAAACCTTGGTCACAGACAATGCTTCCCGTTTCATGGGTAACAAGTGGACAAAGAGGAAAATGGAACTGCTTCGCGGTTCACTTGCACGACCGAGTTCCGTGGTCAGGGAGACTACATCCGGAATATCATCACGGTTAGCCACTCTGACGCAATTTCCACATGTATTGGTCTGCAGATTTGGCTTCTCCTCAAGACGGGCTCAGCTCCATAAGTAAGTAAGTAATTGGTCTTGGCTTTTCTTCAATTCACTTACTTCACTACACTGCTATCCTTTTCCCACGAAGCTACCTCCTGGCCAGTGTTTAAAGGCTCGCTCATTTCACTTCACTTCACTTTTCCTTTCTTCACATCTCTTCAATTCACTTACCTCACTCCACTACTCTTCTTTTCCCACAGAGTTATTGTCTGGCCAGTGTTTCAAGGCTCGCTCAATTCACTACAATTTTTATTCTCTTCTCTTGGTTTCACTGAATCTTCACGCAAGCCTAGGATTGCTGTATCCTTTGCGAAGGTACGTTGCAACTTTTGAGTATAAGCCTATTTTTGTTTGTAATAGCGACATATGCTCATTCTTGATGTATTACTTCCAAGAATTTTAACTTTGTAATCAGCGACAAAGCGCCTCTAATATGAAACAGAGTCAAAGTCATGTTGCAACTGACGGTCAGTCAGTCTGTCTGTCTTGGTGTCGAGCCCCAGCTTGGGCTGATGACCAGATATTTCTTTTGATTGAAAGTTACTGTCTTGTCTATGTGGAGCGCCCTCTCTAACGAGAGGTCGGGTCTGCCATTTGTCAGTCAGTCTGTATTAATAAGTCCACCGTCTGTATTTACATACATTTACAAATACACACTTATTCCTTACTTCTGTGTACAGTATATACAACGCCTCTGTTAGTCCAGGCGCGGTACAGCAGATTATGCCCTATTTCTAGTATTATTCGCTACCACGGTAGTCTAGTCACTTGAACGGTCGTACGCCTGACCGCCACCTAGTTTAAGCCTCATATACTTTCTGTGGCGGGCATCGCCTTGCCCGATGTTGCGAACATTCTCATTCTCATGATTTTATATGACTTTTGCTTGTTGCCTGCATAATTTTGTTATAAGGTCATATACGTACGGGATTTTGAATGCCATGTGAAAATCGCGGACCGGTGTGCGCCTTTGAAAATTGCCAATGGTGCGGAGAACCTTGTTTTGTAGGCGCTGCAATTTCACTAATTGGGTGTCTGCCGCAGACTCCCAGGCGGGACTAGCATAAGTCATTACGGAACTAATAAGAGCTTTGTGGAGGGTCATTTTAATGTTAGCCCTCAATTGCTCACTTTTGAAAGGGAATATACTCTAATGAATGTTCTGAAGGCCTTGGTTTCGATCGTTTCTCTGTGTAATCTCCATGTCACTCTCTTATCGAAGATTACACCTAGAAATTTTGCACTATTTACAAATGGAATATTTCTTCCATTTAGAGTAAGACAAGACTCAGGCGGTCGACGGCCACGAGAGAAGTAGACCCCCCGAGTCTTATATTCATTAATTTTTATATTCCAGCGCTCACACCAGGTCTCAATTGAGCTGAGACCGGGCTGGAGTTTTCTAACAATAAAACCCTCCTTGCGATCTGTCGCATACAGACAGGTGTCGTCAACAAAGAGGGCCAGGTGAACACTACGAGTTTGGGGGGCATCATTTATATACAAGTTGAAAGGAGTAGGGGAAAGGACAGAACCTTGTGGCACCCCTGCTTGCATTTCCCTTAGCGTTGACATTTCGCCTTCAACCGAGACCCTGAATTTACGTTTAGAAAGAAAGGACCCAATGGTTTGGTCAACCTGTTCGAGAATTCCAAGTTTGGTAACTTATACAGCAATCCTGAGTGCCACATGGTATCATAGGCTTTTTCGATGTCCAAGAACACCACAGCCGTAGACATTTTATTTTTGAAATTAAGGGTCACGTGGTCCTCCAGCCTCATACATTGCAATGTCGTGCTGTAACGTGCACGGAAACCAAACTGGCTTGCGTTGAGCAGGCCTCTTTCTTCAATAGGTTTTTGGAGGGAATTCAAAATGACTTTTTCGAATAATTTTCCTGCCGTGGACAGGAGGCTGATTGGACGTAAATTTTGAGAGAATTTCGGGTCTTTACCATGTTTTGGTAAAGTTATTACTTTTGCTTCCTTCCAAGTAGTTGGAAAATGAGAAAGCCGAAGACAGTGATTGAATAAATGGGTTAGATGAACCAATGGTCGCCTTGGAAGGTGCCTGAGGCATTCATTTGGGATGCCGTCAATTCCGCAGGCCTTTTTTAATTTAAGAGATTCTATTAATTTATGTACGTCACATGGTCTGATCTTTTGAGTGGGTATGTCGTCTACAGTTTCCAGCAGAGCTTGAACTCTAGCCTCCAACCGCCGTTCATGGTTATCGTCGCACAGATCATGTAGCGTGAATTGAATTTCCAAACAGTCGGCAATTGCGTTGGCTTTTTCAGAAGGGTAAAATTTAAGGCCAGAAGAGCCATGAACAGCAGTTGGCGCCCTTGGTCAGTCTCTCTTTAAGAGAGATTTCGCAATGGGTCATATAACCTGAGGTGTGACTTCAGCGTTATTTATTTTTGTTTCCCACCGTTCAAGTGCCTTTTTACGGGCCATTCGTCTGATTGATTTGGTGACCCAATTGACTGCCGTTTTACACGCTGGATCCCTGGTTTCTTGCCACAATTTTCGCAGCCTCTGCTTATATTTTATCAAACGATCTAGACCAGGTAGATCGTTGTTTATATCCGAAAGTGTAACTTTACTTGACGACAACCTATATGCCGAAGCAATAGAGGCTGCAAAGTCGCGTGCGGCTTTATCGACTTCTACCCCTGACTTAATTTCTAGTTTAGGTGGTATTAACTCAGAGTCGAGGCTTTGAAACCGCTCCCAATCTGTAAATTTCTCAATAGGTTTCGAAAGATTCCTAATCTTAACGTGATCCAGTATGTGGAATACTATTGGTAGGTGATCTGAATCCAAAATATCAGAAACGATGACATCCAACACTCTGATATTTTTGTGAACCACAATGTCCAGCACGTCACCATTTCCCGCAGGGGAATAATAAGTGGGGCACTGTGGTGCTGAGATTTCGAAATCACTCATATCAAATAAATCCATAAGTTTCAAGCCTGAGGGGTTTGAAACTCTGCTATTCCAAAATGGGTGCTTAGCATTCAAATCACCTGCCAGAATAGACTTACGTCTAAAGCTTAAGAGCTCAGCAATGTCAGCACCACTCCAGGCTTTGCCTGGAGATTTATAAACAACTGCAAGCAGTACTTCACTGTTACCAATTGGTATGCAGATCGCTCTCGCTTCTACTGAAACGAGGGGTGGTAGGTCTACATGGTTATGGGGAATGCCTTTTCTTACTGCAACGGCAGTTCCGCCGTTTCTGTCCGAGTGGC